GGAGGGGGGGGGGAGCGGAGAGCCGGTACCGCTGGGTTCTGGTCCCAGCCGTGTGGGCGAGTGTCTCCCCACCTCTGGGTGACGGCCGCCGGCTCTTCCAGGCCACGACTGCTCGCTGCGCCTCTGAAACCTGGACAACAAGACGTGCGTGCAGGAGATCACGGCCCACCGCAAGAAGCACGAGGAGGCCATCCACGCCGTGGCCTTCCACCCCAGCAAGCCCCTGATCGCCAGTGCCGGGGCCGACGCCCTGGCCAAGGTCTTTGTGTGAGCAGCGGAGGATCCCACAGGTGAGCCCAGCAGCCAGCCTGTCCTGCCCCCTCACCTGCCATGGGCCTGCTCCTCTTGTGTCTCCCACCAGGTGGGTCCCCAGGACTCTCCAGAGGTGCTAACCCTGTCTGGCGAGGCGCAATCCCCCCCACCTCCCCACAGCTCAGGACCTGCTGCCAAGGGGCGGCTCTTCGCATCCAGTGGAGTGGCGAGGACACGCGTGGCTGGGGAGGGCAGGAGGGCAGCCCCGTGTGCGCCCCTCCTTGTGCCCGCAGGGCCCAGCAGCCAGACTGAAATATTCTCCGCTGGTTTCAAGGTCGCTCGTTTTATTTCCCAGCCAACGAGCGGAAAGTGTTTAGGGCCAGGCACGGCTAACGGTGGGGAGGGACAGGCCCCACTGTTCCATGACGTTGGGCACCTCTCCCTGGCCAAGCACCAGGGCCGTCCTTGCTGCCCCTAACTCACCTAGGCCGGGCTCTGCCAGGCCACAAAGTAACCCCCCAGACCGCATGGTTCCCAGGCCCTCCAGAGCTGTCTCCTGCCTCCCGGAGCTGTGCTCTGCCGGCCCCCAGCCCAGCTGCTGCACTAGCTCTCGTCCCTCGTGTGCGGGGCTGGGGGCAGGCTTAGCGAGCACGGGAGAGCCGGGGGGGCACTGAGTGGAAGAGGGGGCCAGCTGGGCGGTTGCCCAGAGGGACCGGGGGTAAGAGGCCCTGTTGGGTTGCGTGGGCCAGGCCTGGAGCAAGGCAGTTCCCAGGGAGGAGGGTTACAGCGGAGGGGCGTCTGATCTGGAGCATTAGTCTCTAGGGCTGCTGCTGCCCTCAGCCCAGCTGTGCAGGCCTGCTGGCCTCCCATGGCTGAGCTCCTCCTGGCCCTGGCCTACTTGGCGCTGCCCTGGATCTCCGCTCCAGCGGGTCCTGGGAGGCAGCCCTCGGCCTCCTCCGTTCTCGTAGCAATAATCCCTTCCCGGCTGGGGCGGGGGTCTGCGTGTGACACTACTGCTCCCTTGGCACAGGGGTGCGCGTGCCTGCCCTGTGCCGGGGGGGCCTGCTCATCCATGCACGGTTCTCCAGCCCTCCTACTGCAGCCTTGTGCTCAGCCGGGCTCCTGGAGGGCTCCCCCCAGAACACTACACCCCCATGCTGGTTCCTTGTCAGCACTGGACACGAGCAGGCTGGGGTGGTACCCGGGGGCTGCTCCGGTCACACACATGCCCTCAGTAAGCCAGTGCCAGCCGGCTGCACGTTCCTCTGGGCAAGGGGGGGGGGGACAGCCCTGCATGGAGCCCCCAGTGCTCAGCTGGTTTGGGGTAGAATCCCCCTCGCCCGCAATAAAAACCATGTTGCTGGGGCTGAAACAGCTTCCCTCCCGCCCTCAGCCAGCGACCTACGCTCTGCCTCTAGGCTCTGCCACGGGCCACCCCCAGCTGCATCTACCCAGGGCGAGTGTGTGTGGGGGGGGAATGTGAAGTAGCAGTCGTCGTCCCCCCAATCACTAATCCACCACTCCCACTGAGGGGACGGTTTAGCCTGCGGGGCAGTGGGGCCTAATGGTTAGGGTCTGCTGCGAGTCAGGACTCCTGGGTTCTGTTCCCAGCTCTGGGAGGGGAATGGGATCTAACGGGGCAGGGCTCTCCTGCGTTCTGCTCCCACTCCAGCTGTCCTGGGGGGCTGCAACTCTTCCTCTCCGGCCCCTGTGTGCAAAGTGCATGGTGCTGCTGCGTGTTCCCCTCACCGCCTCAGGAACCACCTCCCACGTCTCAGCAAGGGCAGCTTCCACACGTGGGCCGGGCCCCGCCCTGTCCACCCCCCTGAGGTGGAGCAGGAGGGCCCCAGAGCCTGTGCCATGCAGAATCCCATGACAACACAGAGGAGGGGGGAACTAAAGCTCAATTGGGTGGCAGGGCTTTTCCAAACCTTTCCACGGCGGCGCGGGTGGGGGCTGATTCCACCATGGCCGCAGGGGTGCAGGTCCCTGCGTCCTGTCGGTATCCAGTGCCCTCTCTTCTTCCTTTCATCTTATCACCTGTAACAAAGAAAATCTCCTTGTATATTCTGTACAAACGAAATCCGATGGAAACCGAACCCAGAGACACCTCAAGGGCTGACGCTAACGTGACCACAAACCATGTTATCACTGTGTGATAGTCTACTGCTGGCATTTTCAATCCGGCTAGCGCGGGCCGGCTGCCAGCTCTGGAGACTAGCCGCCCTCTGGCAGTCCGGCCGTGTCAAGGCGGGGGAGCGCCCCATGAAATCGAGTCGCTAGCCGCTCTTGAAAACCTCGGCCTACGCCCCCAATATACTGTATGTATCTGTGTGCTGTATTTATCCAAACTGAGAGCACTCGCCTTTTTAATGCCGTTGAACTTTTTATTGTATATTTATTTGACCTCTTTGGGTTTTTTTTGTCCTGTTTTAATCACAAGACTGAATCGTATGTGAAAAATCTGCCTCAATAAACCCCCCTTTGGAATAAGAAGCAAGTTCTTTCCCCTCCGGGTGCCTGTATTGAGCCAGATCTTCACAGTTCTCTTTGCAACGCAGCTTTGTATAGAGGGGGCCACACTCCCCAGCTGAAATGCAGCCATCTCTGCAGTGCAGCATGTAGGGAGGGGGCAAAACGCACAGCCAAACCTCTAGGAAGCTTGTAGCACTGATTTCCACAGGGGCCCAGCCCCACAGAGCTCTGGGCCTCAGTTCCCTTCCCCCCACGCTGGGCTGGCATGTCTGTGAGGTTTATTTATATGGCTGGATGGTTTATTTCTTACCAGTAGGTTTGAGCGGTGCTTTTAGCTGCCGCTGCCAGGAAACTTCCCGGACAGAACCCAAGTGCACCCACCCACGGCTTGCATTTATTTCCAAGCAGCAAAAGTTCCTCGGAAGAAAGGAGGAACTGGATTTGAACCAGCCAACGTGGGGCCAGAGGCTGGCACTAGCAGACCACAGAAGGCCCAGCCATGGGGCCCTGATTCCCTGCTCCTCTTCCTGCGGTTTGTTTAGGGGGCGGTGCTCCTTTTTTCCACTGTCTATTGAGCACGTATGTCTGTCTGTTCAAGAACTCCTCCTAACCCGTGAGCCCTCAGAGCAGCGGATTTGGTAGGAAGCATCCTCTTCTCGGAACTCAACGCAAGGTCCGGGTTGGATTGTTCCAGGGCAATGGGATGGGTCTGGAACGGGATTGCTTCTCCTAAAACCCTGCAGAGAAGAGAGACTCAGGCAGGTGAAAGGGGCTGACTGGAGATGTGACCCCTCCCCCCCATCTAGGACTGCCTCAGCCTCCCACCCTCCATGTGCCCTTTAGAGAGGGGGCAGGGCTGAAGGTCCCCAGTTTGTATGGGGCTGTTCCCCTTTGGCAGGGAGCGAGGGGAAAGTGCAGTTTGCTGCATTCCTCACTCTGGCTGGGAGCAGCCCGTGAACCTGTCCTGGTCCTGCCCCAGGCGGGGGACATGCCCCCCCTGCCCTGGCTGTGCCCATGGGAGCTGCAGCTGCCACGGAGAGGCGCTTGTCACCTGGCCCCAAGCTGCTACGGTGAGAGGGGGCGGGAGCAGTCCTCTCCCCAGGGCAGCCGGCACCCTGAACCCCTCCCAGGCCTACCCCTGGCCAGCGATTCACACAAGGACCCAAGCGATGGGGATCCCATTTGGGAAGTAGGGCGCCACCTGCTGGCAAACGCTTGCAGCATGTCCACTGTGCATGGGAGACTAAAACTGAGTGAACGCCTGAGCAAGGGCAGGGAACTCGAGTTGGGAATCAGGCAGCGCTCTGGGGAGGGCAGGGCTGCTGTGGGCAGGACTGGGGAGGCATCAGCCGAGTTCCTGAGGTGGGGGAGGAAGAGACCTGGCCTGCAGGTCAGGCTGGAGGGGCAGCGCAGCGCTTGGCTGGTAACCCTGGGGCACGGGAGGGGGGGGATCCTCATTGCTTCCCAAGCGGCTCACCTGGCCCTGCCCATGCTCTGCCCTAGTCCCCCAGCCCCCGTCCCTCAGCCTGCTGTGGTGGTGCCAGAGGCTGGAGCAGGCAAGCTGGGCACCTGGCTGTACCCCCATCTTGCTGGAGCTGGTGGCTGGGTTGCAGGGGCTGGCTGGTTGGGGG